TATATGATAGTATAAGATATTCTCATGTCATCATTAGTGATTAACCAGAATATTTCCTACACGTAAATACTTAAAACACTTTAAAGTGTGATTATTGTTACACCACGTGCAGTTAGGAACAAGTTTCCGAAGGCCCAAGTTGCAAGTTATCTACACTTTCGCAACTGGCCAGTAATTCTGGCCCACGGGACCTATTCGGAACTACTAACTATCGATGGTACACACTATCCAACTATACATAACCAGATTATCATGATCTTACTTTGTATGATCTTTGCTCACAATCGACGGTCAGTTTATACTGGTTTTGCACAGCTTGATGTGGATGAGGAACAGAGATAACACTATATACAATATATAGCTCCATCCTTATCTTGGAAGGGAATGGTGATAGTTTCTGAATTACTAAGTTGTCTTAGGTCTTTGACTTGAACTTATTTTGAGAGGTTTATTAAGAAATCGCTGGTAATAGGAAGGTTCCTTGTATTTGGAAATGGTTTAAGTGAACGTTTACTCCGTTTTCCTGTTGGATATATCGTGGACGAGGAAAATTGGTTAGAAATGTAGTCTATTAATTTGTAATCTCTACTAGATTTTGGTTGTCGATTGTCAATTGGGATATTGTGTAGACAAAGATATTTCATTTTACACGAGTATTTACTGAAATTAATCTTTAAACATCGGAAATAAGGTCTATAATGTTATTGATGTTAGTGGAGAGCGGTCACCGGTGACCGTTTGGGGATTGAGCAGTTAACTTTTACTACGTAAAGGGTAAAAACAAAGCCTTCACAGAAATATCTTTAAACATCTTTGGATGTAAATAATGTTCTGATAAAAGAAAATGTATCACAGAACCGAACGACTGCATAGAATTTGGTATAATATTCGAAATTCAATATTATAGACCATTTACTTTGCTAATATAAAAGTCATGATAAACAAAAAGTACGACGTAATAGATTGTAACAAAATAAATATTCCTAATCTAGTAAAATAATAAACAATTACTCAACAAAAATTTCCCTCAATGTTCATTAATATCAAAAAGCAGTAGCACTTCGCTTCAGTTTTTTTTCATTCAATTTGAAAATTAGGTTTCATTAGTGCTTTTACAATTACAAAGCAATTTATATCACATGTCAACATTCAGTTTATATTAAACTAAATTTGATATTTAGTAAATAGATCCCTTTAGAACTTTAGTACTTAGCTAAACTAAGTTATTCCTAAGCGATTTTGTTAATGTAAGTTCAGAATTTGTTATTAATGTTAAAAACTTATGTCCCTTGTGGTGTCGACTGGTCTTGATGAAGGTTCAGAGAATGTTACAAGTGCATTAAGTTTGTTTGAGGGAACTAACTAGTTGTAATGATGTTTTAGTGTGTGATTTATAGTATTTGTATGTAAATTAACTAAAAATTGCGGGTTATTCACGTAAATGTACTGAGAAAAGTTCTATTAGTTCCAAGCCACAGAGGGGCTCTTCCTCGTGAGCAGCGTGCGTGGTCGTGGCGATGTTGCGCTCGTTGAGTGGTCGCAAGAGCGACTGCCGGGCAAGGGGTCTCGGGTTCGATTCCCGGGTCGAGCAAAATATTACAGGGTTTTTTTAAAAAAAATCTTAGTAGTAACACGGAGTCTGGAATTGTGCCCGGTATATGGCAAAAGGCTCACTCCTCATAGGATAGGACTCATAACGTAAATAGTGAAAAGTGGGTGTTACATTATACAGTGGCATTTAGTGCCGTAACGTGCATCTTTGCCTACCCCTTTGGCAATAACAGGCATGATGTTAAGTGTATGTGCAACTCTGCTTATCCCTTGTTTATACGTTTATGTTTTGTTATTTTATTTGAATTACTCTTTACACTGCACTTAATTTCATCATCAATTCCTGTTTTCTCGCTTGATAATTCATCTTAATGCTATCAAATTAAATATTTAAACAAAACTGATATGTTTTATACTGATGTGCACTCTGGGGAACTATGTATACAAACGAGATAAAAGTAATGTATGTTTTCAGAATACCAGGTAACTTTCAACGATTTTTTTTATCTGTCCTCCGAGAGCCATAAATATCCGGGTTTAATTTTGTTAAATTATGTTTCAGTGAATGTGTACAGCTGTTTTTTTAGTAGATAACTCTTTGGTTGATATAATTTTTTAATTGTGTTACATGCTACCTCATTATTCGAATGGCTGAAAGTATGATTGCTGAGTAAAGAGTATCGGGTTTAATTACCGAGTCGGTTTTTCGAAAACTTATGAGAGTTATGAATAACTAGCAAACCCGGCGAACTCCGTTTCGCCACCAAATGGCTTCGTTTTATGTAACATTTCGTTTGGTGATTAAAAGTGAATTTTCTTTGTTATAAACCTCACGGAGCCAGAGACCTTTCCAACGAATGCAAAACAGTGGAAATCGGTTCGTGTGTTCTGGAGTTATAGCGTCAGGAAGGAAAACCCGATTTATTTTTATATAGTAGATATCCTGGAGTCTAGAACTATGTATGCTATTATTATGAATATACATACTTTAAAAAAAGTAACGAATGGAGTTTCTTGCTCGTTCTTCTCTATTAGAATTTACATTTTGGAATGAGCACCTAGCTTCACCTAGCTTCATTGACGGACTGAATGACAGACTATTATTTATTTTGTATTTGTTGACGTTTCAAAAGTACAAAATTATGGTTTAATTGAAATAAATGCTTTGAATTTGTTACAATACGCTCACTCCTCATTACAAAGGATTTATAACATGAGTGATGAATAGTTGCTGTTACATTGTATAATTACATATATATATCTCTGCTTGCTTCTAAAGTTGTTACAGTATAATGTAGAACTCTGCCTACCCTCTTAGAGATTGAAAGCGCGTTACAAATAGGTGTCTATTTCAATTTAACCTTCGTGCAACATTATAACATGAATATGTACTCAAGGAACAGTAAATAGCGGGAACAATTAACTCAAACGTCGGGAAACCCGCTGCGTCTGCGCATCGGCCCGTGAAAACTGAAAGTGTATGTTATCACATCATTTTCTAATTGGCTAACGTAATAATTATGTTATGTTATGTTTGTTGTGTTGTATTGTTGTTATTTAACAGTTTATTTTTAAATATAGCGTGTGTGGTTGTATTGAATTCTCAATGATTAAATAACTACGGTTTAAATATTTAAAAAGTTACTGTATTGCTTTTTAAACGATGTTTTTTTATAATATTCTATTTTTATTTTTGTTGTTTTATGTAGACTGTAATATTTATATTATAACTTTCGTGAAACAAACTAAATTCATTCTTATGTTCTAGGCTTACTCCTATAATGTTCAAGCCATGCTGGAGCCTCATATTAATGAAAAGTGTTCTGCGACACATAGCAAATTTCTGGTCAAACAGGTAACTGTTTGACCAGAAATTTGCTATGTGTTGCTTATTCAGGTAACTGAATAAGCCAAAAATATAATCATTTGTATATATTTTCATTATACCTGAATCATTACTATAAAGTTAATACAAGTAAAACCTTATTTATATTTCATACAAAGGATTGGCCGCTCCTTCGTAGTTTTGTCAGGATATTTCACAATTAATCAAGAATTATGTTCGATAGCTGTTTGCGCAAATATTATAAATACTTAAGTTCAACAAATATATAGGAAATTATTTGAGTAGTAAATGATTAAATAAGTTTTTAATTCATTATAGCCTAAATATTTGTCAATGGTATTTCCCCTATTATGTAGTCATTTAGTCCATAGTGAACTGTCACAAACTGATGGTGATGTGATTACAGATCGTATAGACTTTTTTTTTCTGATGATGGTGGGAAACAAAAGGCGCTCAGCCTTTTTGGGGATAAAAGACCATGGAGTGTGAGATTTTTACCTCACTAAAACTACCCTGGTCGCCACCCTCAACACCTGAATGGAGGCACCGGGTCCTCTAAAAGAGACCTGCTCCGGAGTCTCCACGGTGCAACGCCTGTTACGACACATCCCTAGGGAGAAGATCGTATAGACCTGATGTTAATATTACATCTTTGATTTTAATTTACTGTCTCGTGGACTATTCTTTGTTCAGTACAAATATAAGAGGGTTATTTTTTACCTCACAAAGAGTAACTTAGTTCACGTACAAGGCAACTAAAAAACAGACGTATCACGGGAAAAGTTTCATACAAAAAATACGGTTATACATTCAATAAAATTGACACGAACAAAGCTACAAAAATCTGTATCCGACCGACATATTTCACTATTCGTATATTAGATTTCGTAAAAAAACACTGTCCACAATCCACATATTGTAGGCTTTGACAGATAGAATAAACAATTTTGTCTTAATCCAATGAAAGTTTTTTTTTTACATAAAAAAAGTCAATCACAAAGTGGCGATCCACAGTGGGCACAAATTCGGCGGCCATTGAAAAAAAGTGCTTTTATCGACGACGGCGTAATTCCGTTGATGTGTTTCGAATATCCGTGTAGAATTGTAGATTTATTATTTTTATGTGATTTTCCTGAACAAATAAAATGAATGCAGAATATTTTGTGACTGGTTATTGAATATGATATTGATTTATGAAATGTCATGAAATTGTTATCATTATAATTATTTAGACTTGTTTCTTTATTTTAATCTTAAAGATAGAAGAAGAGATAGCAACGAAAACTAAGATTGTATTATTTTCTTTTTTAAAGCGCTTAACTAATTTTAATTACCTAATAATTGACTCAAAGTCTGTTTTGAATCTACTCTCACTGATAGTAGTAAACGGTTTCAGAAGAAACAAGGAAAATATCACAAACTAATTTGTATCCATATATCAAATTCGCAATACATACAAACAAGTTAATTCGACAGGTCTTTGGCCGTTATTTCATAAACCAAACCCTACCACGACTTACTTTTAGTGGGGCGATGACTGCACTGTGCTTCGTTTAGTTGTAGCTACATTCTCGTCAAGACCGTTCATAGTCAAGTTGCCAAAATGTGTGGGGAAATGGGTAAAGCTGTGCTGAGGGCGCTGACTGGCGCGTTGCTGTGTGGGCTTGTGTCTGATGCAGCGTATTTACAAGTAAGTCGATTTGTATTAGTGTAGGTTATGACAATTTTCATCGTCAGTGTATTTTTCAGCTGATAATGGAAATCTAGGTTCCGATTATGATAGCTGGTAACATAGGTAGTATTCTATCTGGATGTATGTACACGCGATTGCAGTTATAATTTAGCCAAGTGTGTAGTGTTGTGATGGGTTCGATTCTCGATTCACGTTTATTCATCGTAGACCGCATCATCGCGAACCACCAGGCGAGATACTGGTCAAACGTCGGCCCATCAAATATAAAAAAAATTGTATTGTGCTATTGGAAATTTCAGAATGGAGTTTACGGATTGATGTATGGGGATTTTTAAGGGGGGAAAATCACCGAATGACTTCTCCCATCTGGGTGAGGCGGGAGGGAGTGTCAGACTCTTACTGACTAAAACCACCCCGTTCCTACTCCGGCACTTTGAGCCGGAGCCCCGGTAATACTTTAGTACTCCGCGGCTCTTGATGTATGGTGTAGGATTTTAAATATTATGAGTGTAGTTTGATAAAATAATAGCTATCAAAATCTCGTCTAGACGTTCTAACGGTTTTAAAAGTTAGGATCCTTATTCTTATATTAAAATTATATTAAGTAAAACTCGCATAAGTGTTCCGTTTTGAGTTAAAACCATAATCCTAATAATATCTTCCGAGGCCAAGACTAATTGTCGGACTTGTAGGAAACAAAATACGTGGGAAAATTTTTAATATCACAATAATTTAACATTGTACAATATTGTCAATTGAAGATAGGGATCGTGGGAGTTGATTGTTTATTATCGACCTTGTTACTTTACAATAAGATAGAAGTTGTTCTTGCGTAAGGTAATTTTAGGTCCTTCATTGATTAAATACTATAAATGTAGCGCATTCCTTTTATATTCTGCTAAAAGGTAGGCAAGTTTTTTTTTATGGAATGGAACGGCACACGAGCTGTCGGATCACCTGATGGTAAGCAATTCGCGCCTCCTATGAGGCGCGAATTGCTATATTGCCATCAGGTCTATAGAGACACTCATAATACCAGACGATTTACAAGTGCATTGCTGCTCTTTTAGGTGTTAGGGATTTACGGATTGGGTGATTTTGGAATTGTGATATTTAGCGATTGAGAGATTTGGGGATTGAAAGATTTGGCGATTGGAGATTTGGCGATTGAGAGATTTGGAGATTGAAAGATTTGGCGATTGAAAGATTTGGCGTTTGGAGATTTGGGGATTGAAAGATTTGAGGATTGGGAGATTTGGGGATTGGGAGATTTGGGGAATGGGAGATTTGGGCATTGAAAGATTTGGCGATTGGGAGATTTAGAGATTGGGAGATTGGGACATTTGGGGATTGGGAGATTTTTGACTTCAAAAAAGAAGGAGGTTCTCAGTTTGACCTGTATGTATGAATGTTTGTCCGCGATAATCTTGCATTGGCTGAACCCAGTGAGACCCTTAGGAAAAGGTTTTAGTATACATTAATATAAACCGAGTTCAATAAAAGAGGGCCTTGAAGTCGATATTTTTAAACTTACTTTATAAAAGAATTATCATCAATTATGTTTAAGAACCCCATGATTATTAATCACCCAACCAAGCGTCAAAATTTCGTATAACCAAAAAATTATTGAGCTACTTTGGTCGATAGCTTTTTATCCATTAATACAATATACATTTCTATTCAATAAAGACCTGGTAAGTGCCGTTCATGGGTTGTTACGACATCTTGTTAATATTTAATGTATGAGTAGTTTCACTATGAGTACGGTTGTTAAATATTTTACGACTTGAGACCTGAACTCGATTCACTTGTCAAGCCAATATTTTATTGAACCGTTTTATATATTCGTCACCACGCCTTCCAAGTCCGGTGTGTGTTATAAGAGTCTAGTAACAGAAAACATATCCAAATCCCCTCTATCTAAAACCTGGAGGCCCAATTACCCTCCCCTTCCCCAATCTCCACAATCCCTGAATCCCCAACGATCCTCAAACTCCTAATCTCCAAAATGCCGGTAACGTACTTGTAACGCCTCTGGTGTTCCAGGTGTACATGGGCGACGCTGATTGCTTACCATCAGGTGATCCGTCTGCTCGTGTACCGGCTTATACCATAAAAAAAGTCGCGGAGAACCTAACAGGTAACCGGGGCTCCGGCTCGACGTGCAGGAGAAGGAACGGGGTGGTTTTTAGTCAGTAAGAGTCTGACACTCCCTTCCGCCTCACCCAGGCGGGAGCAGTCATTCGATGATTTTCACCCCTTAAAAAAAAATACCATAAAAAAAACAAAATGTAGCAAATTAGGGTAAATGCTTTTGAGTTAGAGTTTGAAAAGAGCAGTGCGGTCAGAACCCCACTTTCTGATAAATTCTCAAAACTCTTTGTACCGTGATAACTGTCTTGCAAGATATTGTTGATTTTATTGATGAAGACGGAGAATGTATTTGCCCATGTTTCTAAGAACAATACTTATAGGATTTCATTCTCAATATTAACTTAAATTGCCTCGTTGTCTGAGTGGTCGCCAGTGCGACTGCCAGGCAAGGAGTCTCGAATCGGGCAAAGAATTACTGGGTTTTTTAATAAAAACAGTAACCAGTTTAGTAGCACGGGGTCTGGAAATGTACCTAGTATACGGCAATAGACTCACCCCCTATTACATGGGACTCATAACAAAAGTAGTGAAAAGTGGGTGTCACATTGTACAGTGGCATTAAGTACCGTAATGTACACCTCTGCATACCCATTCGGGGATAAAAGGCGTGATGTTATGTTATTTTCTGTAAAGATTAGTTCCAAGAAATGTTTTTCAGTATGTGACATACTTACACGTAATAATGTACTCATATCACCACTTCCAAACTGCTACGTATTCATACCGATTCCATTATGTAGTGGTCCAACAAACAAATATTATTGGCTAACATCTGGCCGAGTTCAAGTCAATATAATAAATGTTTGTCAAAGCTTTTCGACTGACATTTTATTTGTTTTTCTTTGGAAATTCCTGTGATTGTTGTGACATCTTGTTGTTTTGGTGAGTGAAATATTTGGAGTCTTGATGTTTGTTAGAAGTGGACAGATGATGGCTGAAAGACTGAAAAGTTTGGAAGAATCGAAGATGGATTCTTTTTGGGTACAGTTATCAAATCAAGCTGGTGGCTTAGATATGATAATGATTTTTGTGTTCTTTTACCTTAGAGTTAGCTTCTGTTTAATTACTTGATATATCTTATTAAATCCACAAAATCTGTTCATGCAAAAGTAGTTTCTAAAATTCGGAAATAATGTCTATAATGGAGTGAGTGTTGAGCGGTCACCGGTGACCGCTTGGAGTAGATACTGTAAAAGTTAGTTTATGTACTGTTATTTTGATAAAAAACAAAAACATAGTATAAGTTCGAGAAATAGAAGTTTCGTTGATTATATCTACTTATTTTGTCTTATAACTTATAAGCAAAGAAAACTATTACAAAACTTAATTTAAAACACCGCCAACAATATTTCATATTAATATTAACATGCAAATGGGTTCGTAACATCGTTTCGAACTTCCAAATAAGTGCATAGTTCAAAGACGAAGTTTGCTACAAATGTTTAAAGTATGTGTAAGATATTACAATAAAAGGGTGGACCGACCTCACGGTATCTAGTTGCTATAACTCGACCTCTCATAAGGGAACGCTAACTTTTGCAATTTTCCTTTCAAATGCCCTCCCTAGAGGCCTTCAAAGGAGAATTACTGTTGGTTAAATTTACTCTCATTTTCATCGACAAGTCTAAGGAACAGCCTGTTTTTTAGTTTTATTTCTTTGATCAAGCCTCTCAAAGTGGAAATTGTTTGCAACTCGGCTCGGTCCAAGAATTGGTATTCAGAAGTAATTTTGCAAATTCGCACCTTCTAGTGCCGCTCTGATATTTTTTCTTTTAACTTAAGAGGTTTATTAAATTCTAACTCAGTAATTAGACCTATTAATCCGTTTTAAAGGTCGTCAAAGAGAGTTGTGTTAATTGTAAAGGTCTATCCGATATAAAGGCTGTCGTGTTCAAAAACAACAATTTTCGATTTCGTCTGTCTGTAGAAAGTTAAGCGAAAATAAAATAATTCTCTGTGTAGGTGTTGAAGCTAAATTAGTTTTACGACTTCATTAAAGTTGGTTGTAATTTAAATATTTTATGTAGAAAAAATGAACATTGTTCAATTTTAATTTTTGTGAAACTAATAAAATACTTTAAATGTAGGTATACGAAAGTCGTAAATTAAGTGTTTGAAAAAGTGTCAAGAGTGTATAAGACCAAATTCAAAAACGTATTCAGTTTATAGTTTTTATGTATATGTTTCGACACGAGAGAAATTTTTACTAAAAATAATTGGATACCTACAAAGTCAAAACCAAAGTCAAAATCATTTATTTCAATTAGACCAGGAAGGCACTTTTGAACGTCAACAACAAAAATTTTGAAGTGAAGCTAGTTGCACATCCATACACATTTTACTAACTGATAACCAGTACAGATATTTGTTTACGTGTATCTCAGGTTACGCCTACTTCTACGTATTACTTAAACACTACAAAATACAGTTCATATAATCATCAAATTAAAGAAAAGTTCCAAGAAATAAAATGTAATTGTTTAATTACATTTTATAATTACATAATTGTTTAATTACATAATTAATTACAGGTACCCGGGTGTTTACCCGGGTACCCTAAAACCAAGAATTCAATCTGATATTACAATTCATAGTTATAATAAAACCTTTAGGATGAAAGTTCTTACAACTTTGAAATTAAACACTGAACGGAGAGCACGTTTTAAAATATCTGACTAAGTTATAAAAAAATAGAGAAGTGCCCGGCCAACTCTAGAGGGACACGGGACCCGTCATAGAATGAAATCACTTTTATAATTGTAACATTTTTCTTTTCATTTCTTCGGTATACTTTTTAATAATGCTGTGTTGAACCTATATTTCTTTTTTATGTAACTTTGGAA